CAGTTCAAACAAACAACCAAATTTTTCGAGCAGGACAGATAGACAGACATTCATAAATCAGTTTAGAATTCGATCCTGATCAAAAATATATATACTTTATGGTGCCTCTGAGGCTTCCTCCTGGGCGTTGCAAGCATTTTGACTAAATGAATATACCTCGCATTGATATTATAAAAGGCTTTTATTTAAAAGCGAAAATATGCACAAATGGATTTTAATTTCTTTCCTTCGCTTTGCTATTTAAATTTCTGTTCGAAAGATAGAGAAAAGTTATACTCACCTTGGAATATAATTTGTAAACATATTTCTTATTAAATAATTTGAGAGAAATTAAAGTGTGTTTGCCAATCCATTATCTATTATTTGCAATGGAAATCTTTTGCAAACAGAGTACAATGTTTTTCATGACTTGAATACCTTCTGCTCTCGTTTGTCTCGAACACTTGACGAATGTAGCCACCAGACAAAACACCTTTATTCTAAATACATATATATTCTGAAGGCTGCGTGAACTGGAACGCCATCAACTTCTCTGACATTCCCTTAAACGTGCAGAGCAATTTTGATGAGTTATTGCCTTGTAAGTGATAGTGTATTTGTGACATCGGTGCAGAATGAATATCGAAAAAAAAATAGCGACAAGTCAAAGTTTCTCAATTCTAAGGGAAATATGTTTCCCCATTTTATAGCTGGTGATTGTGGTATTTCGCACAGTGTATCTAAATAGAAGAAGGTATGAACAACAAGAAGATTTGATGGCTAATTATGCGATGTGTTTTATTTATTGGTTTAGTATCACAAAATGCCCCAATTATGATATTCTGCGAAGCAAAGATGAACAATGCGCTTAGTACGTATATCATGCGTTCTATTTTACTTGTCAAGTTTCCAGCGAATCATTGTCTTCTCATCAATATCCCGCTGCATTAAGATAAATTGTTTTATGACACTGATAGATAAATGCTAATGGATCTATTATATATTGATTTTAATCTTTACATTGTTGACAGTTCTTCTCACCTAAACGCCAATAAGCTTCTAATTAAATACGGCAATTACTCATTGCAAAATGGGGTGAAGTACTTGCTCAGTAGTTAGAGAGATGCTCTCACATTTGCGCAAAAGGTCAAGCAACATTTTAAAGTTATCTCTAAAATATTAATTTATCATAATTTAGTTATTTCATTACGAGTAAACAGTTGACCTTGCGTCAGGCCTTTTCACGCTTTGTTTTACATAAATTATCGGCTGATTAAAAATGACACAGAAGCTTAACTGCTCCTCTTCAGTTTCCGACTGACTTCTTTCACCAAACGTCGCACTTTAAACACTCAACATACGGTTTGATTTAATATTAATTACAAGTAATTTTTATCCACTTGTTTAAGAAGGAAGAAACGCATCGATGTAGACGTTCAAACAGGTTGTTCCTATGCCACAAATGCACTATCACTTTAAAGAGAATGACATAGAGTCTGGACGTACAATTGTGAAGGCAGCTTGTCAATGTAGCCCAGCATAGTAGGACATAAACAGATAGTACGATCAGACAGTGCAAAGCTTCGTTTTGTACGTTACAAGGCGCCTTTTGTACACCAATACTTAAAAGTTGCCTCTCGTTACTCTATGTACAAGTAAATTATGCAGTATTGAGGAAATCGCTTTGTTTCCTTTAACTTGTCTATCGCGTTGTTATTATTCTTCTTCTTTAATTTTACATAAGGGTAACGTTTTCTGTTATGGCAAAGTACTCCGCCTTAAACAAAAATTAGATAAAAATCTAACATTCCATCAGAGGAGCATGTGTAAGCTCGCTAAACAAAATATGTAAGAAAAAATTTAAAACTTCTTTAGCCTTTCGCACAGTAAATATCGAGTTTTCTACTCCTACTTGATAGCAGTGAGATAGCTTTGTAATGAAATGAACCCCGCATGAACTATAGAGATCGCGTTATAAAACTTGGTTCTGAGACTTTTACTACTACTTGTTAGAGGTGAGATAGCTTTGTGAGTAGCTAGTGAAGTGATTCCTGAATGAGGTATAGAGATCTCGTTATAAGGCTTGGTTTGGAAGTTTCTATTCCTTCTTGTTAGCACTGAGGAAGCTTCGCAGAGAAATGAACCTTGCATGAATGAGGTATGGAGATCTCCTTACAATATATGATTTTGAAGCAGGGAAATGAACTCTGTATGAAGTATAGAGATCTCGTTATAATATGTGATTTTGATGGCCCCACTCCTACCTGGTAGCACTGAAATAGCTTTGTAGTGAAATGCTCTTTTTTTTTTTTTGTTAGCCCGTTCGAATAGATATTTGCTTTCTCATTTTATTAATGAATAATAAGATACATGTGTACCGCTATATATCTAATATAAATATTCATTTGCTTTGAAGATTCAAAATGTATTAAGCATTCTCTCTTTGCTGCGTTTTTTTTTTTGCATCGCTGCTGATGCAACGGCAATCAACGCAAATTTAAATTAAATTCAATAAAATTACTTGATGTTCCCATTAATTTATTTTAATAAATTGTTGGAATTTATTTATAAATAAAAATAGCCTATAGTTTAAGGCAATATCTATGTAAATTCGCGTAAATATTAAAACAAAGAGCGTACGTTTACGTGTTGTCTCTTAGACCGCAAATATCTATCTTAATGAGCTCGCAATAAATATCTCATTAAAGAAATAAATCACTAATAACAAATTTTGTATTGAAGCGTGAATTTTATGCGAATATGAGGTAAGAGAAAACTTAACCATTATTTTACTTCAAGCGAGTTTAACCGAGTTGTTGAACTAACAGTTCAAGGCGAAACTCGCAGTAAATAGTGAACAAAAAAGTGCTTGTTCAGCAAAAGAATGCACCATAGCACAGATGGATGACTGCATTAGCATGAACTGGTGTTCGCAAAGATGACGAGATCATTTCAGAAATTGAATAGTATTTTGAGATATGGCCAAATCGGTCTTTAAAATATGCATCGAAACGCTAGAAATACGTTGGATTTCTGAATAAAGAGAAATTTTGCCAAAAAGTTCTTCCTGCTTAAGCCGGGGACTTATCGATCGACGAATTATAAAAAATTGGCAGCCGCATGCTGCCATTGGTGTCAGTCACAAGTCACAAGAGCTTACAAAGCATATTCATGTCACAATTTGTGACAATGCTAGTCACAAGAGCTGACAATGCAAGCTCTTGTCACAATTTATGACA